GGTAGATGGCCCCCAAACTCCATACACTGCATCTCCCCTTTTCTCTTTATATTTGCTGAACTGGGACAATGTGCCAAGCTCTTGCAGGTTTTTGGGGGAGCTATAGATGCCCTAAAAATCCAGACTAGGCCTGCTGTCCCCAGCCAGGTAAAGGGAACAGCACAGGGTTGGAAATTACTACTGATTCTAGCCCTACCTCAAATCTCCTGTCTGATATTGGGCAAATGCCTTCGCCTTCCTGGTGCTGCGTCTCTTCTCTGTTAACATGAGGATAATAATGAGGCATACTTTGTTTGTTTTTGGTTTTTTTTTTTTAGTACCAGGGACTGAACTGAGGACATTATGCTGGCCAGGCAGGCACTTATGCCACTGAGCTATCTCCTTGGCCCCCTGTGATGCTTACTTTTTCATTTTTTATTTTTTTATGTATTTGATACAGGCTGTCACTACACAGCTCAGACTCATAGTGATGCTCCTGTTTTCAGCCTCCTCAGTGCTGGGATTATAGGCATGTGCCACCATGTCTGGTCTTGGTAGCTGGCTCACTGGGCCTGGAGGCAGGCCAGCCCAGCATATGGTGCCGGGGAATCAAACCCCAGCCTTTGCACTTGCCTAAGCAGGTCCTTAGTCCACTGAGCTATCTCGCCGGCCCTGATGCTTACTTGTAAGGCTGTCAGAAAGATTAATTATGATGATACCTGGCCACTGGCCCAAGGCCTGGCATATAGTATGCTCTTAGTGAACCCTGGCTGGCATTACATTTGCTGTGGGGAAAGACAGAAAGGTTTCAGGCTTTGCGAGAGGAACTTGGGGCTACTGTCCTGAGAGTGAGACCTAAGATCTATCTCGCCAAGGCCTCCTGAGTGGGCTAAAGGGAGCCTGGCTCAGTTTTAGGTTAGATTCTCCTTAGACTACTCCTATTCCTCTCTGAGTCTTGGGTCATTTTTTTTTTTCTTTTTCTTTTTCTTTTCCTCTTTTATCTTTAAGCTGTAGATCTTGTCTTTAACCTAACCACTTTGTGGGGCTTGGGAGATTAAGAAGGATGATGGAAAATCTTTAGAAGGTAAAATTATAATGCAGGATAAATCTGGTTTTCACATATACCCACACAGACATTAGCCCACTTTGGATATTAGCTCTCCTATTGTGTGGCTAGTGTCCAGACATGCTGTTTCTGTGGTGGACAGCAGGGCCTGTTTGGTGCACATCTCTCACAGTGTGTGGTTAGCACCTTAGACTCAGTTCCTGAGCCAGCTGAGTGGTGCAGAACTCTCTCAAAGGCCATTTGGACTCTGCTCAGACTGTGTCCAACCCGCTGGGCCTCCATAGGCAAGTCATGTGCCTGCTCAAAGCCTTCTGCTCCACATCAGTAAATCAGGGGGCTGGACTTGAACGGTCTCTATGGCCTGCCCTCCCATACCCCAGTGTTCTGTGCTGCCAACAGAGATGAATCTGGGCCACTGTGGCTAAGCACGCTATGGTGAGCGCTCGAGGAGTTGGATGTTCGGTGCTATTGCGATGGTTAAAATAGAACAGGCTTCTGAACCGTGGCCAGAACATAATGAATCCCATTTCTGTACAACAATGATGATGACGGGACCAGTCATGTAGCAGAGTGGCTGACGTGGCGGGCCGCTTTGGCCCAGTATTCTCTGCAGCAAATATAAATGTGAAGCTTTGGCAAAGAAGTTGAATGTGGTGTCTGAGGAACTTTGGAGAAAAGCCAGTCACTGGGTTGGTTTTACGTTCTCCCAGGCTGATGGCATCGAGGGTGGAGTTTTCATTTGCATTGCCGCAGTGGGTGAGGCTTTCTTCTAGACACCTGTCCAGGTTCCTGACTCTCAGGGTTGGGAAGGGCATATGGACCACTTAGTCAGAGGCCCCGTTTTATAGTGGGGACCTTCATGGCCAGAGGGAAGGAACTGGGTCAGGACTTGGAGCTGGTGAATGGAGACCCACTGAGACCTCCAGCTTTTTTTTTCTCTTCTCTGTGGCTGAGTCTGCACTCTCCTCATGGTTCCTTCTGGCAGTTTCTCCTGTCTAACTTTCCCTTATCCCAGTTATCTGCGACTCTGTCTCATGGGCTCAGGTCTTTGGTCTACTCCAGGGGGCAGGAGGAAACCATCAAAGATGGTATTCTGAATATGAGGCATTTAAAGAGTATTAGGGGAGCAGGGGCAGTTTGGGAGGACATAGGACAAAAGGAAAGAGGAGGACAAAGGGACTGCTCTCAAGCAATGTGCTATTTTCTGGGTGCCCCAGAAGGTTCTAAGCACGGAAGTGACCTGATAGGAGGTGCAGCAGGTAAACATGGAGAGGAAGTAGAGGAAGCTGGGCTAGAGGTGGGGACCTGGACCAGGGTGTGTGGCGGGAATGGCGAGGCTTTGGTTCATAGACAAAATGATAGGCAGTTGCTGGTGACCCGGAAGTGGGTGACAGTGAGGAGAAGAGCTGTTGATAATGTCCTGTGCTTTGACTGGGCTAGGACTCCCTGCCACTGTCCAGGCATCACAGAAGCAGGGTGGCTGCTGTCGCCTGTGCTGAAGGCCCTGCACAGCCTCCCTGGGTGTCGATGCTGTGGCCTGGGGGCCTGTAGCCCCCTATTCTGTCCTCCCTCTGTGCTGTAGGAGAGCCAGGGTGAGCAGGAGCTGACCTTGCCTTAGAGAAAGATTCTCTGCGGATGTGTTCAGTCTCCATCTTGGTTTGAAAAATGCCTCAGAGGTTACCCTGCTTCTAGTGAGGAAAGGAGAGGCCTGAGGGGAGGACCGTGGATACTCCCTTAGGGGGGTTGTAGTCAGGGCCCAGATCTTCCCATTCTCATAACCCTCACCCCTGCACTTAGCAGATCCTGTCTCAGGGCCAACAAACCTGGAGTTACAAAAAGAGTGGAAGGTAAGGAGCTTTTTCTGGAGGAGTTTATTATTTAACTGAAGGAAAAGAAGAAGCAGAAGAGTTAGGCTGGGTTATGTAGATGTCCCAACTCCCCACAGAGGATATGATCACATTTACTACAAAGGTGCACTAACTTTTAAAAAATTGAAAAAAAAAATTAAAAAACAGAATGAAGAAAAAATAGGAAGGACCCGACTAGATAGTACACAGAGAGGAAGTTTCAGGACTGAGAGCTCAGAGCAGGGCTCTAGGTCCTGGAAAAGTTTCCCAGAAGTACTGGGCCTTCCAGAAGAGAGGACAGACCTGGAAGGTGAGAGAAGGGGGAGGAAACGTCAGGACAGCAGCACACGCCAAAGCCAGGAGGCAGCGATCTGGGCCCCCTGGGTGTGTCCTTCTGGGTCTTCAGGGAACGGAGGTCCCTGTGGCTTGGCAAACCCTACAGGGTGACAGAGGACTTACAGGGACCAGGAGGTGCTTCCCAAGACGAGCTCCTCTCTCTATGGGGCCATTCTGCTTCTGGAAAAGTACATGCCTCTTGGAGCAGGATTCTGTCCTCTGTTTCTGCTCTGAGAGGTCTAGCATGGGCAGTGGTCCTCAGATGTAGGACCTGGCTTGGGGTCTGGGAAGCCCTTCACTTGCCCAGAGCTTGCCACAGACCGGTGGTGGCCAGTGCAAAAGACAGAAGACTGCCTGTTGCTGGCCGGAGCCCCCTAGCCAACAGAGGAGCCCAGGGGAGGGCAGGGTGTGGGGAGACCAGCACCTTCGTCTTCAGCTAAGCCTACTCTCTGGGGTGTCCCTGCCCGCAGGGCATGATGAGAGCAGAGCCTTCCTGGACTCAGGCTTCAGCCACACCTGCTGAAGCCTGACACCTAGACACCGGCCTTTCTCTTGTACTCTGGTCACCAAAGGGTTAACTCTTTCTGTTCAGCCACCACAATGGGTCTGGCCCCTGGGAACCAGGAAGAGTAGCAGCCAGCAGGGGCAACCCAAAGAAGGGGCACCTCCAGGCAGGGAGGGAGGCACTCCAGGAACCCAAGGGCGAGGGCAGGCCTAGCCGGGACAGAAACCAAAGGGTTAACAGATGCAGCAGCGCTGATAAAATGCCCCACATTCCTGGTCCTGCCTCCAATGGGAAGGGCATCTGGCAAATGTCAATGATAAAAAATACATTTTAATGGCACATGATGGAGCCGCTACCGTGGGGCAGGCGCAGCGGAAGAAACCGAGCAAGTTTGGAGCAGCAGCCGCTGTGTGTGCTCCCTGGCGGGCCGCAGCGAGCCTCCTGACGCTCTGCTAAGCTTTGTCCAGCTGGGGTTCCCGTTTCCCTCACCTGCGACCCTGCAGCACCCAGGGCTTCCAGCCTTCTCTGGTATTATTTTCAGCACTTCACTGGCCCCCCACTTTGGATTGTACCCCCACCGACTGCGGGCTGGAGCTGCTTGGCTGGTCCCAGAGCAGCTGCAGCTGGTCTCCCTGCATCCAGAGCAGAGAGTGACAACCTGAAAACAGAGCTGGGCCTTTCCCTCTGCTTGTGCCCTCCCTCCCCCTCCCACAATGCCCTGGGCTCTGAAGGCGCCTTTGTTGCTGACAGAGGTGAGAGGCAGCAGCCCAGTGCTCCTAGTAGGCATTTCCAGGAAAGGCAGGTCACCCTGAAGGGGACACTGGAGGGAGGTAAGTTACCAAGTACAATCCCATCTTAAATATTTGAAAGTAAGGCTTAACGAAGTTGAAGGACGTGTCTGAGGGTCACACAGTGAGGCAGCTGCATCCAGAGCTTCTGCCTCAACCCCAAAGTCCTGCTGCTGCACATGCTGAGCTCACTGGGCTTTTAAACCGTGAAGGCTCCTCCTCTCTTACCCCTCAAGGTCTATAGCCACAGTGAATGTCTGTCACAGCAGGAAGGTCCCAGGTCCACCTTAGTGCTGGAGCACAGAGGCTTAGTGGCACTGGTTCTCCACTTGGGAACTTCAGGACCTTTCCTGGCCCCTTGATGATGATGAGGCCGGGATTCTAGGCCTTTAGCCAGAAGCCAGCCATGGGCCGTCTGCACTTGGTCAAGGAGCAGATGGTGGGGACCTGGGGCTCATAGCGACACCCTTCTTTTCCAGATCATCCTGAATTCCATGCACAAGTACCAGCCACGGCTCCACATCGTTAAAGCTGATGAGAACAACGCCTTTGGCTCCAAAAACACAGCCTTCTGCACTCATGTGTTCCCAGAGACCTCCTTCATCTCTGTGACCTCCTACCAGAACCACAAGGTACCACTGAAGCCCGGGGGTGGGGGTGGGGGGGTAAGCCAGAGCTGCAGCTCAGCTTCACAACCTGCCACATCGCCCCGGGGCAGAGAGCGGATTAAGTGATGAATAGGAGACAGACACGGACTTGTGTTTGGGGGTGTGTAAGGTGCAGAGGGCAGGCTGGCTGGCTCTTGGTACCAGAGCCACAGAGCTGAACTGCAGAGCCCAGGGAAGGCCAAGGCCCACAGCCAGCAGCTGTGAGCCCCAGGAGCAAGGAGCCTGCTGTGTTGTTGAGTGTTCAGGTTCTGCTGCTTTCTTCTGCATATTTCTGCAGTGTAGGCAAAGGCAGGGCTTTAGGCCTGGAGAGGGCTGTGGAGAGAGGGGGAAAGGCCCTGGTGTGCTCAGCTGGGAGGGGCATGTATGTCCACCCAACCCTGCCCACTGTTCACCCCCTCCAGCCCTGGCCGTCCCCTCCTGCCTCACCACCTCGCTCCTGGCACCTTGGGACTAGCTAGGTGGGCAGGGCCTCAGCTAAGGTGAATTTTAGGTAGAAGAGCGACAAAGTCAAATTCACATTTAGAACAGTCCCCTGAACCTGATGGCAGTCATAAGAGATGGGGTGATACTTCAGGAAGCTGCTGTGGGCTTCTGGAGAGATGGAGGGTGCAGGCTCAGAGGACGGGCAGCCAGAGAGGAGCCAGACATGGGGTCAAGGCAACTCCCAGCTGTCCTGGGGCTGCCACTCAAGACTTTCCCTGGGTCCCCAGTGTGCCCGGGCTGGGGGAGGAGGACCACAGCCAGGCCAGTCCCCTTTCCTTCCAGCAACTCTCCTATGTGTCTTCTCCTGACAGATCACGCAGCTGAAAATCGAGAACAATCCTTTTGCCAAGGGATTCCGGGGCAGCGATGACAGTGACCTGCGTGTGGCGCGGCTGCAGAGGTGGGGCTGGCCTGGCCCGGGGGTAGGGTGGGCAGAGTGGGCGGCCCTCAAGGTATCTTCACCCTCTTCCTGCCTCTCCACCCCCCCAGCAAAGAGTATCCAGTGATTTCCAAAAGCATCATGAGGCAGAGGCTCGTCTCCAGCCAGCTCTCGGCCAAGCCCGACGTCAGCCCCCTGCATGGGGCCCACCAGGCCTTGCAGCACTACCAGTATGAAAATGGGGCCCACATGCAGTTCACTGCAGCCGAGCCACAGGACCTGGGCCTCAACACCTTCCCGCCCCAGAGGGACTCCAGCCTCTTCTACCACTGCCTGAAGAGACGAGGTAGCGCACCCAGTCTAGAAGCCAAGGGCTGGGGACAGCACAGCGGAGCCCATCTAAGGGTTGGCGGCCATGGCTAGGCTCAGGGCTACCTTATCCCACCCAGGAATGCTGGTCTTCATGTGGCGTTAGGAATCTTCACAGACAGCTTGGGCCTTGGTGTCCCCTGCCAGGTTCTGAGTGTTGCTTTGTAGGAGTGACGTTGGGAGCTGCCATGGGGTGGGAGGAAGACAGCTGGGCTCTGACTAGAAGCTCAGGAGGAACTGGGTTGTGAACTGGAGCTTTATTTAATCAGAGCAGCCTCAACCACAGATCAGGGAGACAACAGGCCTGAGTGCAGTGCCCTCCACCTTTGCCTAACTGCATGGGCTGTGCAGGAACTGCAGTGCACTCTTGAAGAAGCAGACCAGGGCTAGGGAGATGGGAACAGCACTACGCCTGCTGGGCTGCTTTGTGAAGTACCCCAGACCCAGCATGGCAACATCCACATTCTGCTGTGAGGCCTCGGCTTCTCCGTGGTTAGAATGGGAACAATTAGTGCTGTCCCACCGGAAGACCTGAGTAGGCCGCTGATGTTCTCTTGAGAACAAGTCTGGGGACTTTCCCTTGTAATCCAGAATGTTCTTTGAGCCTGGTTCCTAGGAACTTCATGGGCAGAGCTCCAAGGATCCTTTAAGCCCCATTAGAACTCAGTGACCTTGAGCAGGGAGCAGCACATTGTGGCCCTTGGACCAGTGCCAGCCTGCGGCCTGATCAAAATGGTTTTCACATTTTTGCCCAGTTGGAAAAGCCAAGCATAGTTCACGATATGCGAACACTATGTGAAATTTCAAATGTTAGCGTCCAGAAATAAGTTTCACTGGAACATATCCACGTCATGTATTTACATATTGCTTTCCTGGGACCACAGTCCAGCTGAGGACTTGTGACAGACTGTGTGGCCCACAAAGCATAAAATATTTACTCTCTGGCCCTTTGCTCATTCTTGACCTCGAGGGACTAGGCTACCTGCCAAGCTAGAGAGCTGAGCACAAGAGAAAGGAAGACTGGAGGGATGGGGATGGAGGAGCTGAGGGCGGGTGAGGGGAGGCCCGGAGGGAGCAAGGGTGCAGTTCCCTGGCAGGTGAGAGGCCCAAAGGCCTGTGCGCACAGGCTCTGCACTTGGCCCTTGCTCTCGAGGCCACCCTGCCCTGTGTACACACACAGCTCTCAGAATGAATCCCTGGGGAAAACAAAAGGCAGGGGGCCAAGATAAGCCGTGGAGAAGTGTTCTTTAATTTGTTGAATGGGCTGCTCCTCCAGCCTGAGGCCCAGCTATCCCTGGATCCCAGGGGAGGGCATGTCACCAGAGTTGAGACCTCATTATTGAGAATGTTGAAAATGCAGCATGATTTGTGGCATCTGATGTCATCTTTCCCCAGACTGTCAGCTTAGCCTAAAAAAGCTCGTCACCTTTTTTTTTTTTTTCACGTCACCTTTTTAAGGTATCACCTCCATTTCTTTATTGTTGTTGTTGTAGTTGCTATTCTGGGGGAATTGAACCCAGGGTCTTCATATTGAACTACATCCCACGTCTCCCCCTAACTTTACCAGGAATCAAACTCAGGGCCTTGCGCTTGCCAGGCAAGCACTTATTCCACTGAGCTGTCTCCCCAGCCCCTTCCCTCTGTTTTTCAAACAGGGTCTTACTGAATTGCAGAGGCTGGGCTCAAACCTGTAGTTGTCCTGCCTGAGCTGCCCAACTCAACTTTATTTCTTAATTTTGACACAGTTGTGTTAGGATCTATGTAATAACCATCTGACGGGTCTTCTTTGACCACGGTAGGGTTAACTTCTTTTCAAAAACAACAGAAACTTGCCAGACAGCTAATCTCAGCACGCCTCAGGAGCACAGATTGAGGCGAAGGCATCATGGCTTTCATTGCCTGACCACTTCAGACACTTGTGATCTCCAGGCTTGATTAGGCCTGAAAATTGCCTCCACTTTCCTCGCCCGGGACCAGCCTGGCCTGAGAATCCAGTGTATGTGGGGGCCTTGTACCACCCCAGGAGTCGGGCTGACGAAGGATCAGAGCTGTATGCAGCCCGGCTCAGTGAGGCCCTCCGTGTCTGGTGATGTGTGTCCCTTGGCCTCCGCGCAGGTGCCATAATCTGACCGCTCCTTCACTGCTGCCAACTCTAAAAACTGTAGCTGATTAAAATGGTGCTGGGGGTGCCAGGGAGATGGCTCAGTGGAATAAGTGCTTCCCTGGCAAGTGCAAGGGCCTGAGTTCAATCCCCGGTTCCGGGAAAAAAAAAAAAAATCTCAAAAAAAAAAGGGCTAGGGAGATGGCTCAGTGGAATAAGTGCTTCCCTGGCAAGCACAAGGGCCTGAGTTCGAACCCCGGTTCCGCCAAAAAAAAACCAAAACAAAAATGGAGTCACTAGTGTGAAAACCAAGAACAATAACAACTAAAATGGTGCTGGGAGCAGCGTGGCAACACAGGGCGAGGGCAGGCACTGAGTGACCAGCTCAGGCTGTTCTTGGGGTGCTCTGGGCCCAGGGCTGGTGCGGACGACTCTTCCTGAATATTTCCTGTCTTGCAGCAGACAGCGCCCGCCACCTGGAGCTACCCTGCAAGCGGTCCTACCTGGAAGCCCCCTCTTCCGTGGCAGACGAGCACTACTTCCGTTCTCCCCCTCCCTACGACCAACAGATGCTGAGCCCCTCCTACTGCAGCGAGGTGACGCCCAGAGAAGCCTGCATGTACTCGGGTTCGGCGCCCGAGATTGCCGGGGTGTCTGCCGTGGACGACTTGCCCCCGCCCCCGCTGAGCTGTAACATGTGGACGTCCGTCTCGCCGTACACCGGCTACAGCGTTCAGACCATGGAGACTGTGCCTTACCAGCCCTTCCCCACACACTTCACGGCCACCACTATGATGCCCCGGCTGCCCACCATCTCGGCTCAGAGCTCCCAGCCTCCGGGGAACGCCCACTTCAGTGTCTACAATCAGCTGTCACAATCTCAGGTGCGGGAGCGGGGTCCCACGGCCTCCTTCCCGAGAGAGCGCGGGCTCCCCCCGGGCTGCGAGAGGAAGCCGCCCTCTCCACACCTGAACGCTGCCAATGAATTTCTCTACTCCCAGAGCTTCTCCTTGACCCGAGAGTCTTCCTTACAGTATCATTCAGGAATGGGGACTGTGGAGAACTGGACTGACGGATGACTGCCACCTCGCCCGCACAGCCCCTGTCAATCAGTGTTAACCTCCATGGGTGGCCCGCACTACCAAGAGACCCAGGAAGGTATTTCAAAGGGTGTACGTGTGCCAACGTATGTGTGTTTATATGTGTGCGTGTGCGCGTGTGTATGTGCTTGTTCATATATGTAGGGAGAACGTCTATCTTCTGACAAATAGCTGAGGCCAGCACAAGAGAAGAGAAACACCAATTATCTGAGAAGAGATTTTGGCTGCAGGGCCCGGGACCACTGTTACCTGACGTCTCTTGTGCTGCCCAGGTGAGGGGTAGGAGTGGAGGATTCATCTGAATTCTTTAGAGGTTTGCATAATACAGTTGGATTCACCCAGGGGCTGGGAGTTGAGGTCCTTCTCTGTCAGAGAGCTTCTCTCTGACACGTGGGGTTCTGACCTTCGACCGTCAGGGCGAGTGAGGGCCCCTCCTTTGGCTTTTGGAGAGTCCATGAGACTCCCTGAGCCCCGGAGTGTGCTTTCAGAGTAGAGCTGTCAGCTCCTTGCTGGCCTGGAGGTGGGTCCCTGAGGCTCTGAGGTCTGAGGGGGACTTCCAGAGAGGCTTGTGTACTCCATGCTGCCTCATGGGTATTTAAAAATATTTCTTCCTTTTTCTGTCAAGAGTAGGGAAAACCCAACCAGTAGCATCTCTGTCATTGTTCAGGGTTTGTGGTAAAGTACAAAACCCTTCCCTCTGGGTCCCCAACATGCAGCGTCTCTCTGGGGTACACGATTGGCCGGTCTGGCACTCGGCATCCCATGGGCAGCAGCTGTGACACATACCTCCCCTGGTAGCGCCCTCAGAACCTTATCAGAGCTGATGCCCAGCATCTCTCCTGGGCCTGTTCAGCTCCCAGGAAACCCGTGCCCCTGGAATGAGACACGCAAAAGAGAACTGAGAACAGTTAAGTTCCTCCAGTAAATTCAGCCAATATGCTCAGAGGAGCAAAGAGAACTTTTCTCCTGGGGGTGACCTCGTAGTTCTCAGCCCTGTTCTCTAGTGCTGGACATCACCAGCCTGGGTGGCTGGTGTGAACTCTAAATTAAATCTGGGAAATCACTAAACTCTTTGCATGCCGAATAGCTATTTATATATTATATAAATAAATAAATGAATAAATATATATATATCTCACAAATGCGGGCCACATGTCAAATTCAGCTTTGCTTTTTACAAATGAATAAACTTAATAAAAATGAATGCTGGTGGGGTATTTGGGAAGACATCTATTTAAATTTTTATTACATGTTTGATATGAAAAACTAAGAATGGTTTAGATAAAGCGTATATATATATATTATATAAACACACACAACAGATAAAACTTTATTAGAAGACACATTAGCTGACAGGTGATATGGAACGTCAAGTGTTTTGTTATATAGCATGGACATTTTATTTTATTTTACATATTGGAACATAAAGCCACCTTACAACTGTGAAGTGTGTGGATGCTTTTTATTACTAGTTTGTCATTTCTTGGCCCATTGATGGTGTCTGTCTCCCCTTTTGATTGTATCTTTTTCTCAAGTCCAGGGGGCCCTCAATGTCTCTGGACATTTGTGCCACAGAGCCTTTAAGTTCAGAATGTAATTTGGGGCCAGTGGACAGGGTACCTTTGATCTCACACTCCCGTGTCTCCCCCAAAATAAGACCTAGCTGGAAAATAATAGACTTGAAAACTAGAGATAAAAATGCCTGTCTCAATCAGCCTGTCCCTGTCTTATCCATTGTCACTGTTCTTGCTTGGTGGCTACTGTGTAAGGCAGGTAAGGCAAAGACAGGCTGATGGGGTCTGGCATTTTTGTCTCTAGTTATCAAGGCTTTTATTTCCCAGTTAGGTCTTATTTTAGGGGAAAGAGGGTACGCTATAGGTGATGAGGCCAGACCCCAAGCTAAATGCAGAACAGGTGATGAGAATCTGTTACCTTTCTGTAGCCAACACACAACCTAGCAGGTCTGGGGAAGTGGTGTCATAAGTAGAGAATTCTAGGTCAGATTTGTGCAGCTGCTTTGGAAAAGGGACTTAGGAGCAGGTCGAACCCAAGCCAGAGCTTGGGGCTCCCTGGGGTAGCTGGAGGTGAGAGTTCATCAGCTGTCTCCATGCCAGAGAGGACAAATCAAATCGTGATTTGTCCTTCAAAGCTCTTTGCCAGACCGCTGAAGCTTGGGCATGAGATGAAGAGAGAAAGAATGAGATGAAATCCAGTCTGGGTTCATCTCCAGGATTAGAAGAGGAGCAGGGCCTAGGGATATAGCTCAGCGGCGCAGCACCTGCCTGGCAAGCGTGAGGGCCTGAGTTTGATTTCTGTACCAAAAAAGGGAAAAAGAAGCAAGTATAGAAAAGTGCTGCCTGTGCCCCATGCTTGCACCTTTTTCCTCATGCCCACTGTCCTCATGTCACCTTCCCCAAGTGCTCAACCCTAAGAGGCGGATTCAGGAGGGGCACCTTTCAATCCTTGCCCATCAGGACTCAGAGGTGTACTGTGGCGAAGAAGTCAACCTGTCCCGTTTTCAGGGTCCTTCCTTTGTGACTGTAGGTGCTTTCTGACTGGGTTTTGTCCTGCATAATGGAGGCCAGCCTCCTTCCTCCCTGAGCTGTTGGCTTCCACCTTGGGCTTCTTGGTCCTTCCCACAGGGACAGCATTTCTTCCTTTATGCAGCGAGTGTCCTGTTGGGGATACTGCATGCTTTAGTGTCCTGTCCAAGAGATGCCATGTCTTCTAGAACTTGGGCAGAGGGTTAGATGTCTTTCTCCAGGTGCTCTCCAGACAGTTGGCTGAATGCAAGGTAAAGCTAGTTGCCCCTGAAGGAATATTTGGTCATGAGGGAGCCCGCGGCTTCCTACCAGCTTTCTGGGAAAGCATGCAGGCCCTGGGCTGCTCCACCTGGGCATGGTGAGAGCTGGGTCTGCAGTGGGAGTGGTGGAACTTTCCTGCCCCTCTGAATCAACAACTTAATAAAACGGGGGCACATGGGATCACCTGGAACAAAGGGCACCATTCAGTAGCACCAGCAGGTCATACATCATCAGCCCAGAAGCCTGCCACGTGACAAGTGTCTGCTGCTGCCGTGCCCCGCCTGGCAAGGGGAACAGAGCCGATTACCATTCAGCTGCATGGCCACGGCAGGCAGCCTCCGGAGCTCTGCTCCCAGCCCAGGAAACAACCTCTCAGGGCGGCTCAGCTACCCAGACCAACAGCCCTGGGCAACAGAAGAGCCTGGAAGAGCAAGAGAGAAGGAAAAGCGAAGCTGGGTCAGACTGACAAATTGTTAAAAAACCAAACCAACTTCCAGGCTCAGCTGGACCTCAGAGGGTCAAGAGGCCTCGGCGCGCCCCACTAATGGAGCCTGCTGGAGGCACAGCAGCCCAGCCTTGCAGTGTCTTATCTTACAACATAAAATTAAAACCCACTTAAAAGGCCGGAGGGCATGTTAACATTCCCCCTGCTGTCTAATTGAAGTAGTTCCCAGTGCAAAGGATTTCACTTGAAAGATGTCTCCCTCCAAGCCTGATTCTCCTGCTCCTGGGAAGTGGGTGAGTGAGGGAGAGGTTGTCATTTCAAAGGCACGCACGAACTCAGGCCAGAAAAAGTGCAGGTCCTGCTCACTGCCCCCATGGAGGCGGCAGGTGGCGACAGCAAAGGTTAGAACAGCTTGGATTGTTTTGTATTTTGAAACAAATTTACAAATTCATTAGCAGCTATGTCAGCAGAGGCCAGACGCCTGACAAGGAGTCCTGGTAATGATTCAAACACGGGCGGGCCACTGGCAGGCCCTGCGGTGTGTGGGGGCGGGGACCTGGCATGCCCTCCTGTTGTGAGATGTCATCCGCGGCTGCCTCTATGCAAATGTACTGCGGGACTTCAAGGCATACGGAATCAATCAGGGACATCCTGTAAAGGTGATGAACTTGCACTGGTCGTCCTGAGTAATGGGAACCAGTCAGCCCGAAGCCAGCCGGACCAAAAGCTAAGGTGACAGCTATTAAGCAGTTGTGCACAAAACAAAATGGCAGCGGGGCTGGGTAATCAATTCAATTCGGATGGGTAGCCCAAGCAACTGCAGCGTCTGTCGCCGCTGATTAGAGGGGACCCGTTTGGAGCTTTCAGTGCAAGCCCATCACAGATCAGAAACAGGCCCAGGATGAAAAGGGAAAAAACTGTCTCCCGAGAAGCAGGCGATGAAGGACTCTGTTTTATGTGACTGTGTTCTTCCTTCTCTCCTTGAAGAAAGAATAGGGAAAAAAAAGAAAGCCAGCAGTTTGGAGATTAGATAGTTTTCTTTTCAGCCATTCATCATTATGAAGGAAAGTAGACAGGGCAGGGGCTGAAAAACCTCCAGTGGGATTTCTGTGAAATCTCACTAAGGAGGACCAGGTTTGCAGTGTGCAGCCCCTTCCTATTACCACAACCTGACAGGGTCTGCAGAGCATCCAGCATCCCTCTTCTCCAACAAGGGCAAACAGGCCCCTGGGCTCGGAGGATCACAGAAATTCTCCTGCAGAAACCCCAAACCACCAAATTGTATCATTTGTGAAAATTAAAGCCTGAGTTGGAATAATGGGGAGAAGGGGAAAATGGGGAAGGACAAGATGAAGGGGTTGTGCAGTCTCAGCAGGTTAGGGCCCCTCAGTGGCCGCCCACTTTTCACTCAGCGCCAGTCAGCATGGACAAGGCCCCTGCTGTCAGCACTGGTCATGGACAAATGACAGACTCTGGCTACAAAATTCTGCTAGAAAAGTCTAGGTTTCTACTGGTTGTTCTGCCCTCTGGTGTGGCGGCTTCAGGAAGGCAGAGTAAGGGATGCCCATAGGCCCAGAAGTCATGAGAGGCCTGCCGGGGACAGTGGAGGGGGAGGAGAGGCTTGTGAGCAACAGTGGTGACTGCAGAGTCAGAAGGAAAGGAACCAGTTAGGATCCAAGGGTGAAACATAAATACCCAGGGTAGGTGGGCTCGGGAATAGGCTGGCTGGAGGTGAGTGAGGGCTGACTCAGCGGCCAGGGCCTGGGAGACCTGGAGCAGAGGCTGGGGGTGGATGCATGGAGGTGTCAATGTGATCAGGCAGCTCTTACAAGAGGGATTCGGAATAGAGGATCCACCAGAAAAAAAGAAAAAAAAAAAAAACCCCAAACCCCCCAAAAACAAAAAACAAAACAAAAACCAACAACAGCAACAAAAACCAAATCCAATAATCTCAAATGCAAATTGAAGTGAGAACATTCAACTTTTGTCTAGCCGATTAGTGAACAATGAAGAAAAGATGTGGTCGCCTCTCTCAGCCACTGCTGGTGGGAGCAGCAACTTTTCTGGAAAAAGCAATTTGGTAGCACAGACAAAGACTTCAAATGTGTTCCTATTCCAAAGAAAATAACCAGACATATGGGCATAGCTTAAATGCTCTGTATGAGTCAGATTTTCTATGGTGGAGACACAATACCCAATTCCCATAAGTTAAAAAAAAAAAAAAAAAAGGGGTCTAATTTAACTTGCACTTAGGAGATCCAGTTTCTGGTGGGTAGGCTCCAACGTAGGAAGCTTACAGTGGAAGAGTGGAGCAAGGCTGTCCAGTTCATGACAACCAGGAAGAAGAGCAGGGAAGATTGTCAGAGAGGAATGGGGGTGGGGCCACATATAGTACCCAAAGCCACGCCTCCATGAACCACCCAGACATGCCCTGGAATGTGCTCTACTAATCTGCTAGCTTCTTAATCCTACATTCAAGGTTAATAGTCACAAACTATCCCTTGACAATTTCATATCCTCAAACGTCTTCTTAAACCATAATTATCTCCCAATAATGATACTAGCAAGTTCATGATTCTGCCTAACGTAAGACAAAGATCCCACATACAACTGGGATATAATCCCTTACCCAGAGTCTCAACAGTGTCTGCATTTTTCAAAGGTCTCTTGAATTGTGGATGCCAGTAACATCAACATCATGTGGATCATGTCAAGATTTGCTGTCAGTCGAAGCAGTAGCCAGGCCACCTTGAGCCATGGCTGCAGTGGCCTGTGAGTCTTGAATGGCTGAGCATGGTGAAATGAATCAATTCCCTATCATGCCCTTTTTAAACAGGAGTCTCAGGGACCCATTTCTCAATTCAAAGTTTTATACTTTTGCACCTTTTAGCCCGCTATGTTTGGGGGTCTTGCTGATTCCTAAGATGTCCTCAAGACATCATTATTTTTATCCCTATTAAAAACTACTTGTTTTCTTTTTAATGGTACTAATCTTTTTAGCAACCACATCTCCTTTGGCCTCAACTTTATACATGTTTCCTTCTGCAGCCAAATTTAAGTTTTTCAAAAATTTCTGCTCTGCTTTTTGCCCCTGATTCTCATTTAAAAAGCTGGTTAAAAGCAGCTAGTAGAAGTCCAGGAGTGTTGATGCACATGCACACCTGTTGGTGCACATTCAGGAGGCTG